ATCCCTCTTAGTTTTGTTTATGTATTTTATTCCCCTTAAACCTCATTCCTTTCTGCTATTATCTTTATCATTGTGCTGTTATCTTTGTTATTGCATATCCTTTGCTATTGTTTTTATTACTGTGTACCTTTTGCTAGTATCTTTGTGACTGTGTCCTCTGCTATTATCTTTAATTTTAATATTTATCTTTTATACCAGATATCTTCTGCTGTTGTATTTATTATTCCATAGCTTTTTATTTTATGAAGATGAAATTCACAGGCTGGGCGTGGTGGCTCAAGCCTGTAATCCCAGCACCTTGGGAGATGGAGGTGAGAGGACTGTCTGAGCTCAGGGGTTCGAGACCAGCCTGGGCAACTTGGTGAGCCTCGTCTCTACAATAAATCAAAATATAAGCTGGACTTGGTAGCATGCGCCTGTAGTTCCAACTACTTGGAAGGCTGAGGTGGGAAGATCGCCTGAGTCCAGCAGGTTGAGGCTGAAGTGGCCATGAGCGTGTCACTTCACTCAACCTGGGTGATGGAGTAAGACTCCAATTAAAAAAAAACAGATGAAATTCACAAACCATAAAATTAGACGTTGGAAGTGGATAATTCAGTGGCATTTAGTACATTCACAGTGTTGTAGATATTTTTATCATGATATGTTCTTACAGAATAGTGTTGGGGAAATTGTATAGCCATATTCAGAAAGATGAAGTGTGACCCCTATGTCTCCCCATATACAAAAGTTAACTCAAGATGGATTAAAGACTTAAATGTCAGACCTCAAACCATAAAAATCCTAGAAGTAAATCTAAGGAAAACTCTTCTGGGCATTGGCTAAGGCAAAGAATTTATGGCAAAAACCCCAAAAGCAAATGCAACAGAAAAAAAATAAATCAGTGGGATTTAAACTAAAAAATTTCTGCACAGCAAAATAAATAATCAATAGAGCAAATAGGCAACCTACAGAATGGGAGAAGATATTCGCAAACTATGCATTGGACAAATAACTAATATCCAGAATCTACAAAGAATACATGTTCTTACAAATTGTGCGTTGTTTTTGTGTGCACGTATTTTTAATTTATATCCATGGTGTTATGGAATGTGTTCAGCACGTATTTTTAATTTATATCCATGGTGTTATGGAATGTGAATGGTTCTTTTCTTATTTTTTGCAAGCCTACTCCTATGCTGCTTTTATTTATTTATTTATTTTGAGTTGGAGTCATACTCTGTTGCCCAGGTTGGAGTGCAGTGGCACGCTCATGGCCACCCACTGGACTCTGGCAATCCTCCTGCCTCAGTCTTCCAAGTAGCTGGAACTATGGGCACGTGCTAACATGGCTAAGTTTTGATCTACTGTAGAGACGAGATCTTGCCAAGTTGCCTAGGCTGGTCTCGAACCCACAGGCTCAGGCAATCCAGTTGCCTCGGCCTCCCAAAGTGCTGGGATTACAGGCTGAGACACTGAGCCCCGCTGTTTCTTTCATTTTTAAAATAAGATATTGTTTGCATAAAATAAAATTCATCCACTTTAAGTGTTATTTTGATACGTCTTGGAAATTAAATGCAGTCTTGTAACACCTCAATCATTAACATATCACAGTCTCTTACTCCATTCTTAAGCTGCTTTATGTTGCTTTTGCAAAAGCTCCCCTCCCTACCCTAGCCCCAGGCCACAACCAATTCACCTCTGTAGCTTTTATTTAATATATATATTTTTAAGTCTGGTTCTCACTCTGTCGCTCAGGCTAGAGTGCAGTGGTCCCATCACAGCTCACTGTAGCCTCGACCTCCTGGGTTCAGGCAATTCCTTTCTTCTGCCTTAGCCTCCTGAGTAGCTGGGACTACAGGTGGGTGCCGCCACACCCAGCTAATTTTTTTGATTTTTTTGTAGAGATGACATCTCACTATGTTGCCCAGGCTGGTCTTGGACTCCTGAACTCAAGCAATCTTCTTGCCTCGACCTCCCAAAGTGCTGGGAAGACAGGGACGAGCTTACCACACCTGGCCAGTTTTGCCTTTTTCTAACTTCACAGATAAATGTTTGGCTTCTTTCACTAGCCTGATATATTTCAGATTCAGCCAGTTTTGCATCATCAAATAAGTTCGCAAGAGGCCATTATTTTCAACTAGTCTCCTACCCTAGGCTGCTGTAGACCAGCCTAAGCCAGAATGGAATCATTGGTACTAACTGCCGTGTAATCAAAATGAATTTTTAAAAGGGCCAGTTTTCAGCAAAACAAAACAAACAAAACCCAGGCATGGTAGGTCGTGCCTGTCATCCCAGCACTTTGGGAGGCCAAGTCAAGAGGATTACTTGAGCCCAGGAGTTCAAAACCAGCTTGGGCAACATAGCGAGACTTAGTCTCTACAAAAAAAAAAAAAAATTAGCCAAGTGTGGTGGCATGCCCCTGTAGTCCCAGCTATTTGGGAGGCTGAGGCAGAAGGATCATTTGAGCCAAGGAGGTCGAGGCTGAAGTAATCAATGATTGTGCCACTGCACTCCAGCCTGGAAGACAGAGTGAGACCCTGATTGAAAAACAACAACAACAACAACAAACAAAACCCTTGTGGTTTGACCTTTTGGTTTTAGGTCTTAAAGCCATTTGGTGTTTACTACCATTGTTATACCCACTTGAGTGATGGGAAAATGGAGGCACAAAGAAGGTGAGTAGCTCTCAGGTCACAGGACTCAGTACGTGACAGAGCTGGGATTCTGAGAGGCAGCTTGGCCTTAGACATGGCATTCCCTAGCTGCTGCATCACGCTGCTTCTTCACGGACGAGGACCCGTGATTCAGAAGGTGCTGTGTGCAGAGCCTCTGAATGCCAATCTTCCGCCCGGTCCTCCCAGCAGCCCTGAGCAGTAGGGCCTGTTATTACCAGGTGAGGGAACTGAGGCTCCAGAGAGATAAAGTGGCAAAACCAGATCTTCCTCACTCCACCCTCTGTGGTTTTGAACACCCAACTGCAGTCTCCCCTGCAGGAAGCAGGGAGGAGGGAGGAATCCTCCTTGGCCCTCCTTCTTCCCCCACCGGGGCAGGGGACCCTTAGCATCTGCGTATTCCACACTTTCAAATGTGCCAGCTTGATAAAATCGATGGAGAGTCCCTGCACCAAGGGCCCCAAGCTCTTGGGGGTTTTCAAGGCCCTTTGGGAACTTGCACAGACTGGAGAATGATCTTGAGTCACCAATGCCCAGGCTCTCCACGGCGATTGACTGGAATTACACTCTGTGGTTTAGTCAGTGCCATGTTTATCACTTTTTTGTGCCTTTTGTTGGTGATTTTGATGCTTGTTTATTTAGGTATTCATTTACTCACTTATAATTGAGACAAGGTCTTGCTACATTGCCCAGGCTGGTCTCGAACTCCTGAACTCCAGCGATCCTCCCACCTTGGCCTCCCAAGGTGCTGGGATTACAGGCGTGAGCCACCGTGCCGAACCTGATTTTGCTAACATCTTCTGAGCACAGTGCTGAAGGGCTGGCTAGTGTCCTAAACACAGGAAGATTGTGATGTGCCTTATGAGAAAATTATGTGTATTAAATAAGCTTCGTTCAGGTATGAATTACAATGCCATTGGCCGTGAATTTAATGCTAATGAATAACAATATATATATTAAACAAGGTGTCTTTAAAGAGAACACATTAAGGCCAGGTGCGGTGGTTCACGCCTGTAATCCCAGCACTTTCGGAGACTAAGACAGGAGGATTACTTGAGGCCAGGAGTTCAAGACCAGCCTGGGCAACATAATGAGACCCCCACCTTTACAAAAAATTTTTATTTTTTTATTTTTTATTTTATTTTTATTTTTTTTGAGTTGGAGTCTCACTCTTTCACTCAGACTGGAGTGCAGTGGCTGCTCCCGGCCACGCAACCTCGCCTGCTGGGCTCCGGCGATCCTTCCGCTTTAGCCTTCCAGGTAGCTGAAACTATAGGTGCACGCTACCATGCCCGGCTGATTTTTGATTTATTGTAGAGATGAGGTCTTGCCAAGTTGCCCAGATGGGTCTCGAACCCATGGGCTCAGGCAATCCACTCACCTCAGCCTCCCAAGGGTGAGGGATTACAGGCTGAGCCACCGAGCCCGGCTCAAAAAGTTTTTAAAAATTAGCCATGGTGGTGCATACCTGTAGTCCCAGCTAATGAATAATGATTTTTTGATAATTTTTGAGAGGCCAAGATTGGAGGATTGCCTGAGCCCAGGAAGTTGAGGCTGTGGTGAGCTGTGATCTTGTCACTACACTCTAGCCTGGGTGACAGAGTGAGACTCTGATTTAAAACAAACAAAAAACCCAGGAGGGTCTAGAATTTTGGCATTGATAATTAAATATTTGAAGGGTTATAGAATGTTTTCAAGGCTGGTTTGCACGCAGAGCATATGATATTGTTGAGAAGGGCTGATGGAGGTCTTTAGGAATGTTGTAGTGCATTCAGGTGGTGATCTGGGTTTGTGGGTAATCATGTTGATGCAGCTAGGTGACCTGGGACAATATCTGGGTTGTAACATCTGGGTGACCACAAGGCTGGCAGTCCCTGAATGCTGTTTTGTTTTGCTTTTGAGTTAGGTTTTGACTCTGTCTCCCAGATTAGAGTGCAGTAGCATGATCACAGCTCACCACAGCCTTGACCTCCTGGGCTCAGGCAATCCTCTCACCCCAGCCTCCTGAGTAACTGAGACTAAAGGCATATGCCACCACACCTGGCTAGTTATTTTTTTTTTCTAGAGATGAGATCTTGCTAGGTTGTCCAAGCTGGTCTCGAACTCCTGGGCTCAAGCGATCCTCCCGCCTGGGCCTCCCAAAGTGCTGGGATGACAGACGGGAGCCAATACACCTGGCCCCCTGAATGCTTCTGCAACACGGAATGTCGGGCGGCATCGAGTGTTTTTAGGGAACATGGATCTGGAACTGGTTCCAGTGGAACACTCTGGGAAGAAGGGGTGGAGAACGGCTGAGCAAGCAATGTGAGGAGGTCGTGGAGGGAGGGAAAAACATCAGCCCGGCTTTTATTGGGGGCCCTTTGTCCACTTTTGTTCCCGGGTTTCGTATTTTCGGATCGTTTCGCGTATCCACGGGACGTACTTCGAGACACGGGTGTAGACACCAGGCCGGTTGGGCTGCCCACATGGGAAGTCTCCCCAGGAGATGATGCCATGCAGCGTTTTGTTACAGACCAGGGGGCCCCCGGAGTCACCCTGAGTGTTGGGGGGGGGAGGAGAGAGAGAGAGAGAGAGAGGGGTGAGGTCCCTGCTCGGGTTAAACAAGGCAGAGGCTTGGGAAGGTTTAGGGAAAGAATGAAAGATGGAGAGACACACATCGAAATGGAAAGTCAGAGAGAGTCACACACACAGGGTGAGAGAGAGAAGAACAGAGAGACACAAAAAGACAAACACAAAGGGACAGAGAGCAAGACACAAGAAAAGAGGAAAAGGCCGGGTGCGGCATCTCATACCTGCAATCCCAGCACTTTGCGAGGCCGAGGCGGGAGGAATTCTTGAGCCCAGGAGTTCGAGACCAGCCTGGGTAACATAGCAAGATCTCGTCTCCACAAAAAAACAGTCAAAACGATAGCTGTGCCTGTAGTCCTAACTACTCAGGAAGCTGAGTTGAGAAGATCGCCTGAGCCCAGAAAGTGAGGCTGAAGTGAGCTAAGATTGTGCCACTGCACTGGGTGACAGGGTGAGATCCTGACTCAAAACAAGAAAAAAGGAGGAAAAACCAGAGATGGATCCAGAGAGAGAGAAAAATACAGAGAGAAACAGAGTTCTCTATGTCTGTTTTTTTTCTATTCCTCAGCCTCGTGAAGGTGGTAGCTATTTACTTCATACCCTGTCCTTGGATTTCTGGCATTAAATCCCTCCCACCTTGTACCCTCTTCCCCACACTAGCTGCCCCTGCACCTGCTTCAAGGTTCCTTTGTGCCTCTAACTATTGAGTTTACCTATCCATGTATGGGTCCAAGGCAGACATCGCTAATCGATCAAGGCACACATCATTAATGTATCATACTCTTTCTCACCAAACCAGGTCTCTTTTCTCAACATCATCATCTTCTTTTTTTATTTTTATTTTTTAAGGTCAGAATCTCACTTTGTTGCCCTGGTTGGAGTGCAGAAGCACGCTCACAGCCACCACAGCCTTGACCTGCTGGGCTCAGGTGATTCTTCCGCCTCAGCCTTCCAACTAGCTGGAACCACAGACATGTGCCACCACGCCCGGCTGACTTTTTGATTTATTGTAGAGACGAGGTCTCACCATGTTGCTCAGGCTGATCTCGAACCCCTGAGCTCAGGTAATCCTCTCGTCTCTGCCTCCCAAAGTGCTGGGATTACAGGAGTGAGACACTGCGCCTGGCCATTTTTTTTTAAGTCAAGGTCTCACTTTATTGCCCAGGCTGGAGTGCAGTGGCACAATCACAGCTCACCGTAGCCTCAACTTCCTGGGTTCAAGCAATCCTCTTGCCTCAGCCTCCCAAGCAGCTAGGACTACAGGCATATGCCACCATGACCAGCTAATTATTAAAATTTTTTGTAGATTAGCCAGGCACGGTAGCACGTGCCTATAGTTCCAGCTACTTGGAAGGCTGAGGTGGAAGGATCGCTGGAGCCCAGCAGGTTGAGGCTGCGGTGGCCGGGAGTGTGTCACTGCACTCCAGTCTGGGCGACAGAGTGAGACTCTAACTCAAAAATAAATAAATAAATAAATAAATAAATAAATACATTTTTTGTAGAGACAAGGTTTCACTATGTTGCCCAGGATGGTCTTGAAGTCCTGGGCTCAAGCTATCCTTCTATCTCTACCTCCCAGAGCACTGGGGTTACAGATGTGAGCTACCATACCCAGCCTGAACCAAATCTCAATCTCAGAAGCCGCCTTCTCTATTGAACACAGGCTGCTTTTTACCCATGTGATATCCATTTCTCCTTAGTTTTATTTTTTTGAGACAGGGTCTCACTGTCACCTGATCACAGATCATCACAGACTCAATCTCCTGGGCTCAGGAGATCCTTTTGCCTCAGCATCCCGAGTAGCTGGGACGACAGGTATGTGCCACCACTACTGGTTAATTTTTTTCTTTTTTTTTTGAGTCAGAGTCTCACTCTGTCACCCAGGCTGGAGGACAGTGGCACACTCACGGCCACCACAGCCTCGACCTGCTGGGCTCAGGTGATCTTTCTGCTTTAGCCTTCCAAGTAGCTGAAACCACAGGCATGTGCCACCATATTTGGCTAATTTTTTGATTTATTATAGAGACGAGGTCTTGCCAAGTTGCCCAGGCTGGCCTCCAACCCCTGAGCTCAGGTAATCCTCTCTCCTCTGCCTCCCAAAGTGCTAGGATTACAGGTGTGAGCCACTGCGCCTGGTCATTTAAAAACAATTGTTTTTTCTTGTAGAGATGAGTTCTCACTTTGCTGTCCAGGCTGGGTTCAAATTGCTGGGCTTGAGTAATCCTCCCACCTCAGTCTCCCAAAGTGCTAGTATTACAGGCATGAGAGCCACTGTGCTTGGCCTTATTGCCCTTATTTTGGTAACAGCCTCCTGATTTTTTTGATTTGGGTAACTGTCTTTCTCAATCCATGTAAGGCTGTCCCCATATCAGCTCCCACAGTTATAGCCACGTGACTCAGGATTGGTCCATTGGAGAATCCCACCACTCTGGCCAGAGCAATGGTTCAGAACACACGACTCGGTTCAGCCTAGCAAGAGTCATGCTCATGACATCTGTGTAAATGACTTGAAAAGACATATTCTCTCTTCCCACTGGGGCTGCCTAGAAGGTAGCATGTAAACTCTAAGCTGCTGGGGCCATCTTGCCATGGGAAGACCCTCACTGAGAACAAAGCCAAAACAAAAGAAAGAAGAGCCAAGAGTCAGAGAGCCAGAAATCCAGAAGCATAATTTGTACAGCTTGATCCATCTGTGCCTACAGCCAGACACCCTGGATTTTCAGTTACAAAAGCCAGTTTCTTTTTTGTTGTTGTTTTCTTTCTTTTTTTTTTTTTTTTTGGAGTTGGAGTCTTAGTCTGTCACCCAGACTGGAGTGCAGTGGCCGCTCTCGGCCACCGCAGCCTCGACCTGTTGGGCTCCGGCAATCCTTCCGCCTCAGCCTTCCAAGTAGCTGGAACTATAGGTGTGCGCTACCATGCCCAGCTGATTTTTGATTTAATGTAGAGATGAGGTCTCGCCAAGTTGCCCAGGTGGGTCTCGAACCCGCAGGCTCAGGCAATCCACTCACCTCAGCCTCCCAAAGGCGTGGGATTACAGGCTGAGCCACCAAGCCTGGCTGTTGTTGTTTTCTGCTTGAATCAGTTTGAGTTGGGTTTTTGTCCCTGGCAACTGAAAGAATCCCAACTGTTGTGCATCTCAACACAGGGATCTGGGCAGCCAGTTCATCAGAGCTGGGGCTTAAGATGAATACTGGTCATCCCTCAATATTCTCTTTTTGTCTTGACCTTCTTTGTCAGAGAACACTTCATCATATAAAGATTGGATCCCCCCTGGCCAGGCGCGGTGGCTCGTGCCTATAATCCCAACACTTTGGGAGGCTGAGGCAGGAGGATTGCTTGAGTGCAGAAGTTTGAGACCAGCCTGGGCAATATAGCGAGACCTTGTCTCTGCAAAAAATTAAAAAAATTAGCCAGGTGTGTGCCTGTAGTCTCAGCTACTTGGGAAGTTGAGGCAGAAGGATCACTCTGGAGGTCGAGGCTGTGGTGAGCTGTGATGGTGCCATCGCACTCTGGCCTGGACAACAGAGTGAGACTCCAACTCAAAGGGAAAAAAAAGATTGAATGCCTTAAGGCCAGAAATACATCCCCCCTTCACCCTCCTCCTCCAACATCTGTACCCCCTCCAGCCTGGCTTTCCATCCCTGGGGAGTCAAAACCCAGCAGCCTCACCTCACAGGAGTCCTTGCCGCCCTCCTTTGTGCCAGCACACAGCATGTTGGATGTGATCTTCCCTGGGTAGACTTGGTGACACTCCTTATCCGAGCGCAGCTCGATGTTGGCACATTGCAGAGTTTTGGGGTAACTCACTGGGGAGGAGAGAGAGAGAAAGTCTAAGGACATCTGTCCAGAACAGGCTAGAGGGCAGCAGTTAAAGTAAAGCCGAATGGGCAAAAGGTAGGTAGAAAATAGAGATGGGGAGAAAGATGCGGAGGGAAGAGATGGGCGTGTGTCTGGGGAATGTGATGAAAGGGATGGAGGGTGGAGACATGAGAGCAGAGCGAAAGATAAGGGGAAAAGTGAAGGGAAGAATGAGGGGGGATGGACAGGGAACTGGGAGGCAGATGAGGAGGGAGGTGCAGCCAGTGGTGAGGAAGGACATTGGGGTGAGGGCGTTGGGAGAAACCGGTCAGACAGAGATGGTCAGAGATGGAGAATTGACGTGGGGGGGGGCAGAGATGAGGGGAAGAGATGGGGGAGAGTGGGAGAAGGGAGAAGGGAGGAGGTATGTTGAAGAGAAGGGTGAAAATGAGACTGTGAGAAAGTTAAAGACTGGTAGGAAGTTGCAAAGGGCTCTTTTTTTTCTTTTTTCTTTTTTTTTGAGCTGGGGTCTCACTTTGTCGCCCAGGCTGGAGTGCAGTGGCATGATGGCGACTCACCACAACCTCATCCTCCTGGTCTCAGGCAATCCTTCTGCCTCAGCCTCCCAAGTAGCTGGGACTACAGGCATGCACCACCACACCCAGTTAATTTTAAAAAAAAATTTTTCGTAGAGACAGGGTCTCACTATGTTGTCCAGGCTGGTTGTGAACTCCTGTTCTCAAGCAATCCTCCTGCCCTGGCCTCCCGAAGTGCTAGGATTATATAAATATATATCATATATATCTAAAAATATAGACATAGGTATGTATAAATATATAAATATATTTTTATATATGTAAATATATATTTATATATTCATGAATATATACATATACATTTATATATTCATAAAGATATAAATTAGACATAAAATGTATATAAATTATATATAAATTCAAGTCTTTATAAAATACATTCATAATATATAATTTATATATTATATAAATATACATAATATATACATTATCGACAAATATATTTAATATACAATTGACATATTTTATAATTTACAAAATACATTTAATTTCTATATTTCCTATAATTATGATGTATAACACATAGTCTATAAATAGATTACCACAAATAGATAATGTATATTAGTATATATTAAACCTATTTATATTTATATGATAACTATATTTCTATAAAGGATATATAACTTTATATATATATTTTTAATTTTTCACTTTATTTATTTATTTATTTATTTGAGTTGGAGTCTCACTCTGTTGCCCAGACTGGAGTGCAGTGGCCGCTCCCGGCCACTGCAGCCTCGACCTGCTGGGCTCCGGCGATCCTTCCACCTCAGCCTTCTGGGTAGCCGGAGTTACAGGCGTGCGCTACCACACCCGGCTGATTTTTTTGATTTTATTGTAGAGATGAGGTCTTGCTGCCCAAGCGGGTCTCGAATCCGCGGGCTCAGGCAAACCACTCACCTCTGCCTCCCAAAGGCGCGGGATTACAGGCTGAGCCACCGAACCTGGCTAACTTTATATTTTTATATACAAAGGGATCTTCCTCCAGCCTTCCCTCTCACCTCTGCCTCAGTTTCCCCAGCCACCCTGTGGATCTCAGGTCACCTGTGTGAGTGCCTACCCTGGGGGCTGGTGGTGGTGCCCCAGCCGGACACACGACAGCAGGTGCCAGGAGGTAGGCAGTTGCTGTGGGAAAGGGCCAGGACGCGGATGTGGTTGGTGAGTTTGACCGGGGTCTCCATCTCCAGCAGCATGATGTCATGGTCATGGTTCAAGTGGGTGGGGCTGCTCTGGTACTCAGGGTGGGGGATGGAGCGGACCACCTCTTTCACCTGCTCGCCGGTCTCCGCACGCCCCAGGGCATGCTTGCCCAGGTAAACTCTGTAGCCACTGTGGGTACAAGAAGGAGTGGTTAGGGGAGAGGATGAGCCCATCTTCACCCGTGTCCCAGCTCCAGCCTCTTCCCCACCCCCAATCTAACCTCTTTCCCATCCCATCTTCCTCATCTCCAAACATGTCTCCTCAGCCCTCAAATCCAGTCCTATCCAAGTCCCCTTTTAGGATTCTATTCTCATGCCCTGTCTCTGTATTTAAACCCAAACCTCCTTTTCACCCCATGCTCATCTCAACCATAACTCCAACTGCATTTTCAAGCCCAGTTCCACCCCACTCACCACCTCAGTCCCATTCTCATCCCTACCCCACCCTCTCCTGGCGCCCACATACTCCTTCAGACAGTGTGCTGCAGTGAGGACCCATTTGGTGTGGACCAGGACTCCTCCACAGAGCAGCCGCCCTTTCACTAGCAGGGCTGCCTGCCAGGGCTGAGAGTGGGGGTGGCAGGTGTAGCCACCTGGGAGAAACCCACTGGTCCCATTGGTGCCATTGAGGATCTTGGGATAATCCTGGGAGATGCCTGGTGAAGAAGAGAAATTGTTAGAAAATTGGGGTCCCGGGTGAAGCAGAGACCTGGAGAGGTGGTTCCTGGGCTTGGGGAAGGGGTTGGAATATTTCCCAGGATGACCAGGAACAGATGATTCATTCACCTCTGGCAACTGCCATTCTCTACCAAGTGGAGATGATTCAGGGCAAAGAGATGATGTTTTTCTCCACAGAAGTGTCAAACCCTCCATTGGGAGATAAAAGAAGAGTTCATGGAATGAGGATGCTTTTGACAGGTAAGCATAAGCCTGACTCTCTCCACCTGCATTTTCTCTACCATTCTACCATGGGGATGAATTTCAGGAGGGGGAGATGAGGTTGGTCTACATATCCACCTAAGCAGTATCCATCCATCTATTCATTCATCCCCCATCATCCCATTGATTTATCCATCTGTCTACCTACTCATCCATTTAGGTAATTATCCACCCATCCATCTATCCATCCATTCCCCATAAATTCCACTGATTTATCCACCTGTTTACCCCTCATCCATTTAGGTAGTCATCTAAACATCCATCCATCCATCCATCCATCCATCCTTCCATCCATCCTTCCATTCAACCCCCATCCATCCCATTGATTTATCCATCCATCTACTCACCTGTTCTATCCACTCATCTATTTAAATTATCATCTAATCATCCATCCATCCATCCATCCATTCATCCATCCATCCATCCCCCATCCATCCCATTGATTTTTTTTTTGAGTTGGAGTCTCACTCTGTCACCCAGTCTGGAGTACAGTTGGCACTTCCGGCCACTGTCGTCTCGACCTGCTGGGCTCCGGCGATCCTTCTGACTCAGTCTTCCGATTAGCCGGAATTACAGGCATGTGCTACCAGGCCCGGCTGATTTTTTGATTTATTGCAGAGATGAGGTCTCGCTGCCCAGGCGGGTCTCGAACCCGCGGGCGCAGGCGATCCACTCACCTCAGCCTCCCAAATTGTGGGATTACAGGCTGAGCCACTGAGCCCGGCTCATCCCGTTGATTTATCTAT